GCACATCTGGAGCTGTGGAGAGCCACCCCTGCTCATGAGCTCACACCTTAAACTTCCCACCAACCAATTCTCTTCAGGTGCTTTCTGGGCAAGTGTGGCCTGCAGATGCTGGAATGAAAGCTTTGTAATCACTTTCCCCATTTTCAAGAGAAGCCTGTGGGGCCTCTTTGAAGGCCACCCCCGAACCCACATCTGTTTCCTGTTATTCAGTACCTCCTACACTTCTACATCCTGACTCTGGGTACCCCATTCCCAGCCAGAATGGTGGAGCTCTGTGGGTTATGACTGCCTTCTGGGGACATCTCTGTCTTCTTGTGTTCCATGATGGGTACAGCCCAGGCCTGACCATGCTGATGGCATCAGGAAGGGACATCTGGCACAGAAAAGGTTGTGGAGCTGTTGGAATTCCCCATGCTGGGAGCCAGAGAGAAGAGTGAGGAGACAGAGGAACAACACAAGTCCCAGAGACAGTATCTACCTCCTGGACTCAGCCACACGTAAAGCCCAGGCTTTTGATGGGAATGGGCTACTAGCTTTGTTTTCTGTTTAGGACCTGAAACTTCTATCATTTGCCTTTGCAACCAACACTCAGGGATGGCTTTCATTTTGGGGCTATTTTCTCAAAGAAAAAAATTGTTGTGTTGCCACTATTGCTTTCAATCTCTTGGGGAGAGTTTCAAAAGCAAGAGAGCCATCATATTGGGGATGCTATTGGGGGGCCCTCACCCTCTATACCTGGCTTGTGCTGTCCTAAAGTTATCTGAACCAATGACAAGCTAGCATCTCTTCTGGACCTTTAAGATTGCCTTTGAGCAGCTGAAGGGCCCAGGGTGCTGAACACCAAAGGTCTGCTGTAGGCAAAGGGTTTCTTCACATGCTGCTTCCCACCCACCTTCCTGCCCAGGACTGGAGTCACTGGGCAAAGCTCACCCTACTGTAAGCCAGGCCTGCAACCTCCCCAGGGACTGCAGCCTCCACAGGCGTGGGGCTGCTTAGGCCTTGCTCAGAGACGCCCCTGAGCATCCCTGGGACTTGTGAGAGCTCCCTAGAGAGAGCTCTAGCCACAAGGCTTGGAAACCTTCAGAGCAAAGTGAGCATGAAACCCAGCATGAGATTTACTGTAAGCAACTGGAGATCTTAAAGAAAATAAGGGCTTGAAATCAAATGGAAAAAAGGAAAATCTTTGTAAGGCTCTGCACACAGCCTGGGGTAAACAAACCTCAAAGGCCCATGTCTTCAATGTTCTTTGGAATGGTTGGGCTGGACTTCTGCTCTCGGCCCCCACCAGGCTCCATTCTAACTTATGAACTGCCTACAACAGGAGTCAGTGACGGGTGCGAGGGCAGCCCTGGGCCTCAGGAGGCAGCCTCTGCCAGAGGGGGAAAAACCATACGCCCTCCTGTCACACAAACACAGTACATGCTCAGTCACGGCATCCTTCACACAATCTCAAACAAATCACCAGCACCCACATCACCTACCACCCAGCTGGACTGTCTCACAGATCCTTCCCGCACACACCCTCATACCCCCACACCATCAGAGACACACACGTGACCCCACTGCAATCAGAACCAACTGGGTGGGTCTTCCCAGCCCACCGCTGACCTCAGGATCTCATTATCTCTTTGGAATTGCAGGACATGTTTTCAATCACTGCCTGAAGTGGTAACAGACCACACTGGAGTGGCATTGAAGGAAGGTTCTCTGGCAGAGCTGACTCTGAACCCTGGAGAGCCATGGACAATGGTCCACTCAGAGGTTGCTGAGTGGCACTGGCAGAGCTGTGGCTCCTCCAGAGGGGGTTTATGGCCATGTCTGGGGATCCAGAGGCAGGGTAGAGGCAGGCAAGAGACCCCCTCATCCCCGCTGCCTCTGCGCTAGTCAAGGTCATTTTGCTGCCTCTGCTTTACATGCCAAGCTTTGAAATGGGTTTTTAGAAAACAAATCAGATTTATTTTCACTTCAAAGAAGTGTCTAAAGAGTACTAGCCCAACTCTGTCCTGCTAGAGATAAAGAAGCTAAGTCCTGGGTTGGGTCCATCACAGGGCTTCTCAGCAGCCAAACTGAGAAGGGGCCCCAGGTGTCCTGCTGCTATACCAAAGCCAAGTGTGCATGATTTCATGTGACCTGTCACCCTCTAGGCTGCCCTGGATAGGCTAAATGGTGCTGCACTGAGGTGACATTTGCACCTGCATATCCAAACGTCCTTAAAGAAAGACCTGCTAACCCCAGAGGCAGCAGGCAGAAGGTGAGTTTTTGCAGTCCCAGGACTGTCATCATTGCCCAGAGGACCTCAGTACGACTTCAGTCAAGCATCACCCCGTAGAGAGAGACAAGGATCCCAGGGACACACCACTGGAGAGCAATGTGATGGCATGTGAGGGAAGGGGACTCCCCCAGGGCTCTGTTTTGGAGGGTGAGACAGTGCCTCACTTCAAGTGCCAAGAGTGCTAACATGCCATGAGAAGCCCATCGGTGTGGCTCCCAGGGTGTGTTCTCCTGTCATTCTTGTCTTCCTCCCCTGGAAGTCCTAGGATGCTCTCTCTGGTTTCTGCAGCCCCCTAGGAGAGTGCACAATGGTCACAAGGGACCATGGATCTGCCGAAGGAGGCCCCAGAGGCAGGCTATGGCACCCTGGTTCTCCCACTTCCTTGAACTCAAGATAGGACAGAGGGTGTCTCCTTGAGTTCACCCCTGACACTCATACCTCAGTCAGGGTGTGGTTCTCTACCTGCCCCTTCTCAAGCCCAAGCTTGAAATGACACTAACTGCTCAGGGGACACTGCTGCCATGAGGTGCCTGCTTAGGGTCAACAAGACCACAGAGGGTCCACCATGAGCTTCAGGACATCCTCATGGCTGTGCTTACTGAGGAGGTCGCAAGGCCTCCATCAGGCTATCCAGACAAACCAGAGGCAGGAAAAGGCAGGTGTCCTATGGTGGCAGCAGCCACTATTTGAGGTGTAAGTCCAAGGAGGAGCCGTGCTGAGCACAGCTGGGAGGCAGGAATCCACACCCTGCTCCTGGGGTAAGGAGCTCTGGCCCAGGACCTGACACCACATGCACCTTCATCCAAGTTTGGTGCATAAGCAGCAACACGAAAGAGCCAGCCAGGCCTGCCTGCCTGCAGAAGCCCCATGCCAGCTTTACTCACTGAGAACCTGGGCATTAACCCCTTACTCCCTAAGCCACAGTGCCCACAGGGGCACTCCTCACTGGGTTGTGGGGGGGACTCAAGACACTGCTTATGCAAAAGATGGGACAGTGCTACAGAAAGCTTCATAAATCCTGGTAGCCATGTTCTCACCGCCCATGGGACGTCCCTCCATACTGGCCTCTAAGGAAAGGGGTAAGAAGACAAATAGGTAAGACCAAGCCCAAGTCATGGGCCAGCAAGGCAACAGGCCTCTGCGTGGCCTCTCCTGTCTCAGGAGGCCTTGAGACATCTTCCAGCAGGGCCCAGGGAAGGTCCTTAGGACCTCCAGGGAACTGCTGGATTCTTGTCTGTGCATGTGCATCTGTATGCGTGTGTGTGTGTGTGTGTGTGTGTGTGTGTGAGTGTGTGTGTGTGTGTGTGTCTGTGGGTCTGTGTCTGACTGTGTGTGTGTGTGTGTGTTTGTATTGGCAGGGCTGTACTGTAACTCAAGCCCCATAGCAGGAAGCTGTGCATCAATGCTGGGACAGTCTTCCCCACACTGATGGCCCAGAGGAGCCTCTGCCTGAGCAGAGACACATAGGCAGGGACACTGTGTGTCCCAGTGACCCCTATACCAGATACACACTCAAGCTTGCAAGCCAGGGATCCCTAGCACAGCGGGAAAAGCTGAGGCTGACACCCCTAGGCCTGCCTTCTAGAGAGTACAACTCCCTTCAGCAAGGTGAGAAGACCCTTGCCTATTCTCCAACCAGGGGATTAGCAAACCAGGCCTGGGGAGAAGGCAGTGATGCTTATGGTCACCACTCAAGTGAGCCCATGCTGGAAACGAGTCATATCATTATGGCAGGATTAGAAGAAAAATGCCATTACAGAGAGCTGTGCATACACCAATTTAATAAGGTCAGTAGCAGCAAGCAGCAGGCAGGCCAGTGCAGGAGGCCACAGAGCCCCCACCATCCCCTCCCATCAGTAGAGGTCTAGGATACAGCCAGCGACAAGTCTGGCCAGGCCCAGCTAGGGCAGAGGAGCAAAGATCTTCTTCTGCCAGGGCCTCTCCAACCTGTGCCTATGTACCTCAAGCGGCTCATAAACTCAGCTCTTCCTAGCCTGCTGAGAGGTGCTCCCAAATCTTTCCCCCAGGGCCCCTCTAAAGTAAGAGTCACTCCAGGGCTCTAGGCCTCTGGGATCTGCCTCTGCTTAGAAGGGAATCAGGCAACTTTACAAAACTATTCATGTGCTATTCATCTGTTGCACTCCCTAGTGACATAATGCCCAGGTGACAAATACAGACAAGAAGCCTGGATGGCTCCTAGTTCAGCAGGTGCTGTCCAGAGGAACTCGGCTCCATACTGATCACAGTACACTGATCAGAGTATGTACAAGGGGGTCTCTGCCAGCAAGGACCAAGCAGGGGACACTTAGGACCAGCAGCTTCTCCTCTCCCTGAAACCCCCACCCCGAGGCGGGCTCCTTGCAGGTGTTATGTGCCTTGCCCTCCAGCAAGAACCCTGCCCAGAGCACTGGGGCCGCCGGACCCATGAGGTCTCAGCCTCGGCACGCATAGCAGCAGAGTAAGTATGTGTGCTCTGGCTGAGGAGGGGGTGCTTCCCCAGTTGTTCCCACATATGGTGCGAGACCCAGGAGAAGGGAACCCTGGACAGGTGTACCCACGGCTCACAGCAGCTGTCACTCCCCACCAGCGTACTGCCCCTCCTCCTCTGCCAACACCTGCACACGTCCTTTCAGCAACATCCCCTGAGCTTTCACTATGGCCAGCCACTTCAGGGGGCCCAGGAGGTACACACAGCCCCAGCCCAGGAGTTCAGGAGGAAGATACTCACAGCTCTGATGACCTGGACAGGATGGCAGACAGGGTGAGCAGGATGCATCCATAGGGGCCCACTTGGAACTGCGAGAGGAGAAAGGAGTGAGTCCCATCTGAGGCACACCTCCCTCCACTCAGCAACAACCTGTGCTGGGGCACCAGCATCTCCATTCCCCCAGCCTTGCCCTGTGCAGATCCCACAGCCAGACTCCCTAAAGGACACCAGCCTGAGTGACAGTGGGCATAGAACATCTGCTCCAACATGGAAGATGCCCATGACCTTAGCGTCCTCCAGACTGGCAGGACCACGGCACTCCCAGTAGGATCCATTATGATGCTGATGTCTCTCATGGGCATTGTCACATTAAATCCCAACACAAGGGTGTGTGTGTGTGTGCGTGCGCACATGCACATGCGTGTGCAGTGTGACTGCCTTCTACATGGCAGAGATGGAGGCTCAGGGACCAGCACCTTGCCTGAGGTCGAGAAGCTCCTAGGTATCAGAGTGGATGGGCCCCATTCAACACCAGCCCCTTACTGCATGCAGAGAGAGCAGCAGAGAGCAAGTTTGGAGCAGGGTCGAGATCAGGATGCAGTGGGGAAGTGGGCTGCACTGCCCAAGGGGATGTCGTCTTTGTAAATTACACTATTCTAGAATATTTTTAAATGTCAAGTATTTGATTTTTTACAAATCAGGAATATTTTAGATAAATTTTGATGTTTAAAAGATATTGTTTGTACTCATCTCTAGATTTTTGCACCCCTTTAAGTTTTACACCCAAAACCAGCACCTTCTCCTCCAGTCCCAACCCTGGCGGGGAACCCTGTGCCAAAGCCTGGCTGCCTGGGCTTCAATCCTAGCTGTTACTCTTAGCCAAGTTACGATGGGGATGTTTCTTAGCTCCTCTGTCCCCCATCCTCTCATCGAATTACTGTGAAGACTGAGTTCACATCACTTAGAATAGGGCCTGGCACCTGTGCCAGCTGTTAGTATGATGCTGGCTGTGCGTTGCCTACCTATCCCATGAGCCTACTGGGCCACAGCCAACTGGGATAAGCCATGACGCTTGTGCTCCCTGGGCAATCACACAAGTCAATGTAAGGGCTCTACTCATCCCACTTTGGAGATGATGGACTATGTTTGAAGACACAGCCTACTGCAACAGTCAGTATTCCTTACGTATGATCAATTTCTTTTTGGGCTGAATACCAGCAGGGAAAAAAAAAACCAGTTTATTTCTCTTAGAACAGTCAGTGAAATTTATACAATTTATCATATTTCTATTTTTGCCTTAGCTTCCAGGAAGCTCAGAGCCAAATATAGTGCTCCATCCTGGTAACTACTTCAGACCAAGCTGATACAATTATCTTTTGTTTTTCCTCAAAATACAGTCTTTATCTTCATACAGTTATTCAATTACTAAGTTCACCAGTCTGGTGTGTTTTTTTTATGCTGAGTGAAATTTCTGTGTCAAGAGGACAGTCCCTGCTAAAGCTGTATTTGTGAATAAGATACACATGGATCTGTCCTCTCCAGAAAGTAACTCAAGGAAGAAAGGATAAGCATTTGGAAAGAGCGGGGAAGGAGTCTGCTGTGATGGAAAGGCAGGACCCTCTGGAAACTCACAGGAAGGGCTCTCACACAGACTCCAAACCCAGGGATGGGGGGAGGGCCAAGGAAGTTCTCTGGAGGAGCAATGTCTGCACAAAACCCAGGGATAGCAAGGGTGGGGAGATGAGACCAGTCCTTAAGGCACAGGAAGCAGGTGCAAAGGCCTGGAGGCAGGAGCCTGCAAGTATACTAGGCCAGGGCGAGAAGACCCTGGAGGACATCACTTTTTACTTTACAACCAGCCTCAAGTCATACTTTGGAGGATAAATGAAAAGCATGAATGTACAAGACCTCATCTTAGTCCTGTGACCTCAAGCCAGTCTTCTATCTCCCTTCTGTTGCCCTCAGTTTCCCCATTTGCAAAACAAAGTAATAAAAACAACCCTCTGCATATGTGCTTGGGTCACAGCACACATTCTGTGAGGTAATGCTTGTGCAGTGTTCTGACAGTCACAGAGAGAAGCTGAGGTCCCCACACAGTGGAGACACATGTCCATGGACCAAGTCTCAGCTCAGCTACATATGTGCATGCTGCCTTAGGGAAATCAGAGAGCTCTCAGTCTCTGTTCCCTTTCTGGAATGCTGACCAGTGTCTGCCACGGACTTCCGCCTTGTCTTGGGGAAGCCCCAGCACCATCTAGGTCCAATTCCTCTTGGCCCTGCCTGCAATGCCTACTGACTTCTTGGCACAGTGGAGTCAGGGACACAGAAGCCCCCACTGGGAGCCCTAACTCCCTGTGCCCACAAGGGAAATGACAGCCCTGATTGCTGGCACCCCCCTAGGAGCCCGTACCCAGAGCCCTCTGCAGAGGGAGGAGAAACAAGCCCTGCTTGGGGCAACTTGCCCTTGCTGGACACAGCTGAGTGAACCTTTTGCTTTTAAAAAACACTGATTAAAATTATCTCATCAAGTTCAAGCTGCCAAGACAGAGGAGGCCACAAGGGCACCATGCCTGCTGAAAAGGCAAGCTGGGCAGGGAATTGGGCTGGAAACTACGGGCAGGGGCAGGAACAATGTTGAGGGCCACTTGGAAAGAAGGGACCATTCTTCCAGCACAGTGCACAGCCCTGGAGAGACGGGTGCCCACTAAGGGGCTCCACGGGAGGCAGGGGTGGTGCATCCCTAGCTGGCCTGGGCCACCAGATACCTCACCCTGCAGGGGAGTGGAAATGAAAACCCAGCAAGGGGGCTATTTATGTTGGGCCAAGACACTCAGTGTCCATTTCCAGGCCTGGCACAAAGAGCCCCTCTTAGGCCCAGTCCATGAAAAATGGATTTGGTGAGCCCAGTGCTGAGGCAGCTCCACTGCTTCCAGCAAAAACATAAACTGGGATGGGGGTGGAGGGAGACCTGCATGCCAAACTTGGGGTTTGGTATTGACGGGCGGCAGCCAAGAGCCGCAGCCAGTGACAGGAGAGAGGGCTTGGAGCCCAGAGGCCTCACTGAAGGAAAGCGGCCCCTGGTCAGCTGCAGGGCCCACCCTCTGGATCCCTTGCATAGTCCCTGTCATATTCAGGCTTCATGGGAACCCTGGGCCACAGGCAACAGAGTGAGACCCCCTCAAGGGCCAAGATGCAAGGTCCTTGGTACAAGGGGCCAGCCCAGGACCATCAGGGCAGTGAGCAGGCCTCAGAACCTTGTGTCATCCCAAGGGCCCCCTCTGTCCTCCAGAGCTCCACTAGTCTCTTTTTCCTGGCCTGGCAGTGTGACACCATGTCCAACCTGGGAGAGCTCGAGGCTCTTCCATCTCTTGGGTATACCCTGGATTTCACAGGGGTCCTGCTCACTGGTGCAGACCATCTGAACCTCATTTGGAAAGCCTTCTTCCCCACGGGCCTCAGGTTCCTCTCTGAGAACCAAGACTGGAGCTGTCAGTTATGATAATTGATAAATCTGATAATTACTCCATCTTCCAGATCAGGAAACTGAGCCCCAGCGACTTTCCCCAGGCTGCATGTGACCAAGCAGTGAGACAGAGGATTCTGGGCATCTGTTCAGGCCCTCCCACTGCTCCAGGCAAGGTGGGGACACACAGCATTGGGAGATGGCCCTTCGGGCTATTATAGCGAAGAATTCAAGAAATCCAGGGACATGGGGCAAGTGACATCCAGCCCAGGGCTCCCGATTCCTGAGCCAGGACTCACTCCCATACATATGCCAGACGGAGCAGCCCACATGGAAGGGAAGTTATTCTAATGTGGGTCACTATGCAGGCCCTGCGCTTTCCTGAGCCAAGTCATCACTCAAGATTATAGCTCCGGGACCAAAGGGCCTCAGGTGCGCCGGTGCCTCTGCTAACCCTTGCATCTGCCTCCGCTGGTTTCCTCCCCAAGGAACCTCAGGTACAGTCAGGGTCAGGATACCCAGAACTTATGGATCTTGGAGGGAAAAAGATGAGAGAGGGTCTCTGACAGTGGGAGCTTTAGGCCTGGTACCACTTGCCCTGAGTTTGCCCTCGCTGATCACCAAAACCTCCAGGGCCTTCCCTGGGAGCAGACCCCACATGCAGAAGGCTGCAGAGAGCAGAGGGGAGGCTTGGAGAGCATCTCTCACCGGGAAAAAAGGACTCAGCCTTTCTTCTGTCCTTCCGCCTGACCCACAGATGCCAAGGCCTTGTGGTTGGGACCTCCAAAGTCATGCGTCTCACACTGTTCCTCCTTGTCTTGTTTCCCTCTTGATTTTACAACAGCCCACCTCGAGGTTGCCTTAAATCATTGTGACAGTGGTGACTACCACCAGCCATAGTCACAATGAACAGAACACCACTCGAAGCCTGTTGCTCTGGCACACTGCACAATGCCCTGCTCCAGGCACTGTTGTTATACATGTGTGAAAAGTAGGAAAACTGAGGGACAGAGGACTCAGTATATTGCCTGAGGTCTTAGCTATTCAGGGCCATAAAATGGGTCCAAAGCCAGGCCTGATAGCTCTGAAGACAGGTCCTTGGCCCTGGAATGTGCCAGCCCTTCCTCCATGCAGCCAGCACCTGTAGCCCTATTTGTAGTTTGCAGAGCCTCTGGTTGACCCACACTCACTCTGGCCCGTCCTGCACACCACACTGCCAGCAGTGGGTGCATAGCTGTCCTTTAGCAGGGTCGGCCTGGCCTCTCCAGAATGATGCCAGTAGGGTCTCCCTCATCACTGCCCGGCTCCCAACTCCACCCAGGAATCCACTTCCTCTCCATCCTTCAGTTGGTCCTGAGACCCCTCCATGGACAGAGTTCAGATGTACGGAAGCAGCTGCTTGACGCTGTGGCTACAGTCTAATGACTTCTCCTCCCTTCCCTTTGACCCAGCCCAGACCAGCCCTTCTTTCAGCAGCCCCAGCTGCAGCTGCTTCCTGAGCCTTGTGTCCATGACCAGTCTGCACAGCTGCAATGGAGAGACTGGGTCCCCTGCCCTAAAATCATGCTTCCCCACTCCCCAGAGGCTGGCACAGGCTTCCCCGCCCAGCCTCCTTGCCACATCCAGGGTGTGGATGTCAGGGAGGACAACTCTCGCCCACTACTGTCTCTTGCATGATGAAATGAGAAAGCTTGACAAAGCATAGGGCACAAAATAAATCACCGTTCATACCTGATGCACAGTATGTTGGAGAAAAGTCACCAGCTCCTCATAGCACGTCACACTGTGGAGTGTAAGCTGAGAAGAGACACACTGGGGTGAGCTGTTAGGCCCAGGATCCAGGGCTGCAACCCATGCGGTGAGCCTCTGCAGCCTAAACCCCACTGACAATGTCCCTGGGCAGAGCAGAGATTGTGCGGAGCAGGCACTGAGTGGCACCCCACATCTGAAAGTGGCTTAGCTCAGCCTGTCCTGCGGCAGCCCTAGGCCACCCGAGAGCCCCCAGGAGCCCCACATCCTGTCACTAAGGCATAGTATCCTGCATCCTGCACAGCCATACAGGAGGGCTATACCCCTTAGAGAGTCACTATGTCTGAGAAGGGGCCAGAGGCAGCTGGGCACCACATCCAAATCACACAAGTCAGGCTGGGTCACAGCACCACTGAGCTAATGAGAAGCAGCAGATCAGGTCCCCTTTGCTTTCTCAGGCAGGTCAAGAAAAAATACTTTTGAATAAAAAAAAAAATCAACAAAGCAATGCCATTAATTAACGGCCCAAGGTCACACACACCCCAAGCAAGGACAAATGAATCAAAATGGTTAAAACAATTCTCAGTGAACAGGTGGCCATTTTGAAAATCTCCACTGTGTCCACAGTTTCAAAAATATAGAAATGTCCATCTCCTCTTTTATAGTACCACCTCTGACTTTATGGCTGGTGCCCAGGCTGTCAAAGTCCTTCCCCATTTTCTAAATGCATCTCCTCCCTTCTTGTCCCCCACCCTCCCATAAGAATCCTAGATAAGATGCTAAAGGCTGGGAGTAAGCCAAGTGCATCTCGTAGTCTTATGGAGAAGCGCAGCCCTGTCATCCTCAAGGTACATAAAGTGACCCTGGCAGGAGTCCAGCTCCAAAGCCACCCACCTCTGCCCCATCTGCAACCCCAGGGAGAGGACTCTGAAGGCATGGGCTTCAGGGAGGGTGGACCATCCCAGCATGGGGGTGGATTTACTTATATGAAAGGAGACAGTCCCCAAACAAAGCCAAAGGTTGCGTGATAATTTTCCAGAAAGCCGTACTGTTTCTAAGACTCCATCTGCTTTGTATTTCCCCGTTGGACTGAACTGCTGTGTTCCAGAAGCCCTAAAAAGGAAAAGAAGGTGCATGAATCCTCTGCCAGGAGAAAAGCCATGCCCTCCAGCCAGGGTAAAACCACATGTGTCATGAAAGGAGGACAAATAAAAAGGTGGCTCCAGAGGAAAGTACAGAGCCAACAGTTTCTTGTTTCCCCTGCTTTGAACTCGTCCTCAGTCTGGGCCCAGAAAACTCACTAGTAGGAAAAAAGGAATGGAAAACACAACGCAGAGGGTAAGCCTGGAACAGGCAAACCCAAGGCCTGGCAGTAGGAAGACGTCTGACTCTCACCCACACTGGCAAATGTGCATGCAGACAAGGACGTGCTGGCTCAGCATCATTGTCACAGATGGAGGGGTCAGGGCCCCGGCTCTCTCTGAAGCCTCCACTGCGACCCTTCCTGTGACTTTTCTGGGTGTGCAGCCCATGGTGGCACAGAATATGAGTAGGGCAGGGGCGTGGGACCTGCTGTGCCACTAGCTGCTGTGTGACCTTGGACCAGCCTCCTTCCCTCTCTGAATTTCTATTCCTTAATCCTCAAAACAAAGAGAAACTGAATCCCTGCCCCATCGGCTTTTAGCCTGTGTCCACCCTAAGGGCCAGGGTTAATAAGCATGTGCCAGATGCCATCCTAACCACATTTATTATTTATCATCTATTTATATTGATAAATGATTCAAGCTAAGTAACAGTGTTACATTTATTACATATCATTTATTTATATTGACTCATTTAGTCTTCACAATCACCCCATTAAATAATCATTATCATCCTCACTTTCTAAACAGATCGGGCAGTTGGCCAACACCATAAACACTAAGCAACAGCTTCCAAAATTGGTCTCATTTAGTGACTCAAGAGGACCCTGTCTCAAACTGTTTTTAAAATGTGGAGGGGTAGGGATGCAGCTTAGTGCAAAGGCTCTGGATTCAGTGGCCAGCCCTGAAAAAAACATGCAGGTCTCAGAAAGCCACTCCTCTTGGGCAATCTGCTGCAGTGACCCATGTGTCCCCCAGAATGTGAGCCCCGAAGTTACCCCCTTCACTAAGGCTCAGCCATGTGGCTGAGAAGAAGAGAGGCTGCATGGAGCGCCATGGGGGCAGGGATGAACTGAGGGTCAGGGAGACAATGCAGGGTCGGCTGCACCCCAACTACTTCCAGCTCTGCATGGAATGAGACCCAGGAGACAGGGCAGTTGTGAGCATGCTGGGGGCGGGGGGAGTGGTACAACTCGTTAAAAGGTATACCTGAGTGTCAAAGTGATCTCAGAGGGTTCCCTAGGGTTATTCCTGGGTGTGGGGAGGACAGACAGGAACACAACTTCCAAGAGCAGAGCTGGAGCCCAGGTGCCAGCACTGCCTCTCTCCCAGCCCGGGCTGCCTGGCACACACAGCCCTTGTACCCAAGGCCAGAAGAGCCCACAGCCAATGCACCCACAGCCGTGCCAGCAGAGGCTAAGCAGTGGTGACAGCGCCCTGGGAACTACTTACAGGGTGACCACGGCTCGCTTTTGGCTCCCAGCCCGCCACAGGATGTCTGCAAAGGCCAGGGCCAGGCAGCGGGTGCGAAGGGCATCTGAAGGCTGCAGCTGCCTGTGGACAAGAAAGAAAACGCTCATGAGGATGCACAGCAAAGATGACGCAGCCCCATGGAGCATGTTTAGGTGGCCCACCTTTTCCCCTGGCCCTCAGAACATCACCTGCAGCTAGGGACTCCATGGCCGAGCCTGAAGCAGAAGCACTCTCCTGAGGAGGCCATGAGAGGAGACTCAGAGAAGGATGGAGCAGGAGGCCACCCACTGGAGGGAGGGGACTCTAGAGGCTTTGAAGGCTGGCAGTGTCCTGATAATGGCTGGGCGCTCTGAGAGCCCTGAAGGTGGAGCCTGACATGCCCTGGAGCTGCCACCATCCCAGGCACAGCCTCGACCAGTCCTGACATCTGGGCCCTGGAGAGAACAGCTTAGGCAGGTATGTCCTGCTGCCACCACTACAGGGCCTGAGGGACAACAGCCTGCCTGACTGGCTGGGTACTCAGACGCAGATATGGGGCATGGGCAGAGGGAAAAGAAGGACTCAAGGATGACCCCATGGCTTTTGGGGCCACATGATGATGCCACCAATTGAGACAACAAGTGTGTGGCTGCAGGAGGCAGCTGGGGTGGGGATGAAGAGCAGCACCTCAGACTCACTGAGCTTGAGGTACACACAGGGACCCCCAGGGAGGCACAGGAGAGATGCTGGGGCAGGGCAAAGATTGCCCAGAGAGAGGACAGGGAAGGGTAGTGCAGCAGCCAGCCCAGGGGAACCTGCAGACCTCTGAGGTATTAAGGTCAAAGAGACAGAGCAGCAAGAGGACAGCAGGCAGAGACACAGGCGAGGAACAAAAGAATTTTAGGAAGCACAGGCAGGCAGCACTATCAAAAGTGGCAGAGAGCTGTCTTGCAATAAAGATGGTGAGTAAGAGGTTCCGGGTGTATGGAGGGAATGAGAGGGAGGAAGGGAAACTGCCAAATATAGACATTTCTTTCCGAGTGACATTTCCAGGGCTCTTTAGAGCTGTGCTTCTTGCCTTTCCCTGCATTCTGTGAATTTTTTTCTAATTTCAAAAACTAGACTTAGTGAGTCTCTCCCTTTTACAAATAAAAGGGCTTGATGAAGATCTTGCTGGGGGTCAAATGAATGCAGAGGGGGGCATTCCAGCTTTCCAGTCACTAAATAACAACTGAATTCCATTCGGAGATCTGTAAAGGAGGAAGAAAGCTGTGTGGGGAGCAATGGTGCACACCTGTCATTCCAGTACTAGGGAGGCTGAGGCAGAAGCATCATGCAGTCAGGCTTAGCCTTGGCTACACAGCAAGACTTTGTCTCAAAACACCAAGAAAGCAAAGAATGAAAACAAACAAATGAACACACACACACACACACACACACACACACACACAAATAATGGAAACTTATCCTTCCTTCCAGGACAGGAGAAAGGAAGAGGGAGAGTAAGACGCAGCCACCACAGTGGGTGTCAAGTGCTCATAGCCCAGGGGTGGACATACAGCCAAGGATCTACAGCCAGGCTGTTGTGGTCCTGCTGCTTTGTTTTGTTTTTGTTTTGGTACTAGGGATCAAAGTACTGCTGCTTTAAAATGAGAGGTCTCTCAGTTTCCCCATCCAGAAATTGGCATTGGGAGCTTGGTACACGATAATGTTTGTTAGGCCCAAGGCCTGGGCCTGGCATGCAGTCAGGGTCCAGTCAGTGGTTCCTATCATTACTGTCTTTGTGGAAACCTCCAGTCCTCAAAAAGGGGCTCCCAACATCTGGTGTGAGACTGGCACCTTTCAACTCAATGAAACAAGCAGCGAGCACTCAAAATTCTTAAGAAAATAAACCAGCACATTGCCTGACCCTCTCCAGGCTCAGGAAGCCGTCTTGCTCCTCAGAGGAAATAGTAACCAACCGAAAAATGCAAGCTTTCAGGAGCCTTGGCCTGGGGTACCACTAACTAGGAAAACAACATGGAGAAAATATCATTCACGGTTTCAGAAAAGGCTATGCCAAGGACTATGGGGGCCTGGAATGCAGAGTTTGTTGGACGAAGGGGAAAGGACAGGGTGTTTATCTCTGGATTCAGAACGCACAAATATGTCTCTGTCACCCCCATGGCCCCTGTCCCCTGCCCTGCCCTCCTCCAAGAGGTGGCCATATCCTGACCACTGGACATCCTGCTTCCTACACCCATGCTCCTCTGCCCCCATCCTCAGCTGAGCTGATGCAGCCAGGGCCCCCACCAGCCTTTCTACTCCTTCTGGCCACCTCCAGGTCCCAACACAGAACCTGTGTGTGCAGGGTAGAGGGGTGTCTCCCCATAGCACTCCCCGATTGAAACCTCTACCACCAGGAGGATGCCTAGATTGTGTATCCTGTTTAGAACGCCTGTGCTGGAAAATCTCCATACATGGGCAGAGAGTGTACCCTACCAAACACCATGCTCTACCACCTACAGAAGCAGGTACGCCTCAGTTGGAAGACTCTCCGTGTAGCAATAGCTAAGATTTTAAAAGCCTGTCTATGATGAGTATTTATCATGGGTGAGGTATGGTAATAAGCACTTTATATGTATCATTTCATCAAATCGTGAAAACAACTCTATGAGGAAGGTACTATTATACTTTTTAAGTGGGGAAACTGAGGCATGGATACAATTTACCCAAGGTCACACTGCTAGTAAAAACTCGGGGGGGGGGAACATTGAGGAAGGAAGAAGAACCAACTCTCTCGGGCACTCAGTTTTAGGAACCAAAGTCCCTCTGCCTCCGAGTCCGTCTTCCCAGCAGTGTGACAACATCAAGAGGACCTGTCAGCGTCTCCGAGTGCGCATCTCCCCGCCAGCTTCTGTGTAGTAACTTCCCCAGGCTCCCCGCCCTTCCCTGGCCCATCATCTTCCTGAGAGGACACACAGCAGCTGAGAAAGTGCAATGGTCAGTCGAGAAGCCTGGCCTCTCTCCTGGCCCACAGGCTTGGGGGAGCCCTCTGCGCTCCCAGATCTTTGCTTCCCACCTGCGAATACAGGCACTGAGTAAGATGCCCCCGTCCTCGTTGCAGTCTTGCCATTCTGTCCTTTCACCTGCCCCAGAGGTGACAAGGCAGTGTGCACACGTGTGCCTGCATGCTTGTCCCACAGCAATGACAGAGGAAGGAGGAAGGGCCTTCACCAAAGAGCTCAGCAGCATCCTTCACTGGTGACCCCTCAGTGACTGCAAAGGTCCCATATTGCCTAGTCAGACAGGACTCGGGCACCTGGCCAGGCTCTTATAACAGGAGAAGCTTCTCTAAGAGTCCAGTTCCTCCCAGGAAAAGTGTCCAGGGAGGGGGAGGGCAGGGAATATTACATCCCGCATTTGCCCAAGTGGTTCAGAATAAAGAGGTATTTTCTACTCTCCACACGGTATCTCAAGACGGCCTCTCCACTTAGTTTTGAGTACCCCGATTTCTGAAGGGAAATGGGGATGATAGGATAGCATCTCTGATCTTCACTGTGTCTATCCAGCCAGTCTCTGAGGGCTGTTCCTGGCCAGGAAGAAAGAAAGCTCATCTGCTCTACCCAACAGCTGAGGGCACCAGCCCTCCTCTAGTGGAAAAACACTGTGGCCTGCCGCCTGGCCCTGCCTGCCTGATGGAATGAGTACTAATGAAGCCAGACAGTCCCGCAGAAAAACATACTGGCCCTGGCCAAGCAGCCTTCATTTCAGCACAACTTCCCTGGAGGGTGCCACTGCATCCTGCACGCTGCTTTCACAGAACACACCCCCTGGCCTGGGCCCACAGATTCCAAGTGCAGGAAAGAAAGGCCAGCCTGGGGCTGTGAGCTGCAGATGTGTGGCGTGACAGGCTGGCCGGCAGCAGGCATCAGAGTGTTCCTGCAGACAACAGAGGACCGTGTCTCCTGTTTTAAAAAAGCCAGATCACTTCTGTACCCCCAGAATTTCAGAGCCAGAGGGAGTGCTGTAGACTCACAGCCACCCAGGGCCCTTGGTCTGCGCAGAAGTATCCATAACCCAATCCATCAATGAAAATGATGTTCAGGTTGGGCCATTGGACACCACGGAGCTGGGCGGAAGCAGCCCATGCACACCCACTCCAGCTGTACCCTTTGCTCACATCTCTGTACTCTTGTGCTCAACTTTTCTAAATTAGGACAAAGAGAAGCCGTTTCTCCACAGAGCTGCCCACAGTCTAGAGGGGAGAGTTCAGAGGGTGCCCAGCGATTGACTCTTTCAAACACACAACCACCTAAGGCCCAGCCGCATGGTGTGACAGACAGGGTGCCATGTGCCAGTCTTAGCTCTGCATGGTCCCCTTCTCACTAGCCCTTTCCCCTCCCTCTGCTTCCAGGCTGCTGTGAGGTGCGCAGCTTCTCTCTGCCACGCCTTTCCTCTGTGGCAGTGGAACCAACCATCCATGGACTGAAATCTCTGAAAACAGGAGCCAGAATTAACCTCTCTTCCTGTAAAGTGATATTCTCAGGTATTCGGTCACAATGACAAAAGCTGACTAACACAGGGAGTAAAAGACCTTACATCCGTTAGTGGGGTAGCATGGTAGGCAATTAAGAAGCCAGGCCAACCCTGTGCCCCGGCAGGATCAGCCCTTAATGGAAGCAACGTAAACTGCATCCTGGTTGTTGGGAAACCATCTACAACTTTTCCACAAAAGTCCAAAACTGAAGTTCAAATGCAATTCTTCAGCAGTGGGCTAAATGAGTCATAAGACGTCTCTCATAAGGGCCAAAGCTCGCTCAGAGTAGCTAATGGTCCTGAGAGCCCCAGGTCCTTGTGGCAGCCTGGCCCTTCCTCACCTCCAGGCCCCAGGTCACACCTGTCCCTCCAAATGCAGCCTTGGCCACCCCTAGCACCACTCTGCTCTTTCCCCTACCCTCAGGGCTCTGCACATCTTGTTTTCCTTACTAGAATATCATTCTACCTCCCCTCGTTTGCCTGGTTAGCTCATTCACTTGTCTATGTGTTCACTCAACAAAAATTCTGAGGGCCTCTCCTGTGGACCAAGGATCCGGCTGGCTGCCAGCAACACGGCTGTGGAACAGGCAGCCTGGAGAGGCCCTGTTCTCGTGGAGCTTGTATTCTGTAGGGAGAGGGGCAGACATGGACATGCGGGTCCACTGAAGAACAAGAGCACCATCTCAGGGAGAGGTGAGCCCAGGTGTATCTTCCTTGGCAAGTGAGGAAAGAACTTTGTGAAGATGGGTCCTGAGAAGAGCCATTAGGTAGACTTTGAGGGTATTATCTGGGAAGAGGAAAAAGAATAAGGGAGGAACAAGTGTGTGAAAAGATACGTGTGAAGGGGAATCAGGGCTCTGCTCCTTCTTTGGATAGTAGTGAGGTTAAAATGCCCTCTCCAGGAAATCTGCCCACAATGCCCTTCATGGCTGGGTGTGGGTGAACCCTTGGCAGCCTTCATGTCACCCCACTCTGTTCAGTCATAATTGCCACATCTGTCTTGTTCAACCCCATAGGCCTGCCCAGCACCCGGGAAAACATACCCTGCATGCTTCCTATACATGCATGTGAGGAAGGGAGGTAGGCAGCAGCTTATGTGCTCAGAGTCTGTGCACCCTCTGAGGACAGCCAGGGGCCCCTCACTTAGTGAGTGCCACTCCATCCAGAGTACTCCTGAGCACCAAGCTGTGCTGGGCTCACCAGGAGTCAGGGGCAGGGTCTCTGCCTGTGACATTAAACTCAAACCTTTACCACTGTGCCGGGCCAGCCTTCCAGAGGATGCAGAGGTGTGACCCTGCAAAAATAAGAAGTTACAGTGGACAGACCCAGGGCAGGAAGCAAAGCAAGCAGCGAGGACAAGGTGAGACTGTGGTACAGAAATGTCACCCTGCTGGTCTTATGAGGAGCATCTTTTGGTCTACCCATAACCTGACTACTGTCTTGTAAACAATTTTTTAAATTACAGGATGCCAAAAAGGAAAAACTACCTGGGATCAGCCCCTGTCTAAAGCAAAATCATGTACACTGGGAAGTGTCCTATTGAGAACCAAGCTTGGCTGGTGCACCCCATCCCTGTCCTGTTTCCAAAGAAAAGCATCTCCAAACTGAACTGGCCTTTTTGTCTCGACAACACCTGGGCATATTTTAAAGGTGCCAAAATACTAATTTAAAACAAGTAAGTGCCTTTCAATAAAGTTCAGGAACTGGCAAAACTAAGCTATGGGTTTAGAATCTATTTAGCTATAACTTTAGGAAGGAGGTAGGGTATTGATGGGCCACAAGCAAGGGACTCTCCTAAGTGCTGGGAATATTTTCTCTCTTGACCTGGGTGATATGTTAATGGGTATGCAATTTTTGTAATATTTCAACTAAAAAGAAAAATATGAGGGCCAGAGGTTTTGTAGCTCTGAGGACTGGGTACAAGCTAGTAATTGGGCATGCGAGGAGAAAAAAGAAGGCTGCCACTGGGGAAAACCTTGTCCACCTGCAGCACCTCCCCACATTTTATCCTGGCACCAACCATGTTGGGGCTACGCCTTTCTCCGGGTCGCTGGACCTCACAGAGTGTCTCTGGGAGGGAGAGAATGTATCTCATTCTTCCTGCTCTCCCGCCATCTGTGCACAGAGGCCTAGGACCATGTGTTGCCCAGGTGCAAACACTTAATGCATAAAGTGGAAAATAACGTGGCTGCCTAGAAAGGAAGCCTAGAGATTCAGGCTGTTGACAGAGGGGTGCGAATGTGGGAGAGAGGGGAGACCTGAACTGGGCCAGAGGCTCTTCAGGCTAATGTGGGAGTGGAAGGTATCACGGCTGCTGTGCAGCCTTCTGAGGGGACACTTACGGCAACCATTAACCAAGCGTACAGTGCCCACCAGCCCTCCCTGTTCCCAGAAAGGAAGGTAAGTGCTTGCACTATGCATGGGTCAGCGTGGGCCCTGATGGCTGGCTGCCATGACCTCTCCCATCTTGACCTCCAGGAGACGGGAAACATCAAGGAACACACACACTTCCCTGCTTGTTTGTTCTGGACACTCCTCAGCTGCCTGGGGAAAGGCACATACTGCCAGGCCTAGCACGGACTTACATAGCACAGTTGGCTCCACTCTCGCCTCCAAACAGGAGCTTCTGCAGCACACAGCCTTGGACGGCCGCTAGCACCCCACAGGGACCACCCTGCAGAGAGCGACACGTGTCAGAACCAAGGGCGGGACGGGACCTCAGTCCCATCCCGCCAGCCCCACCCCAGGTTACAGGGCACAGGCACTGCTGCACGACTCCTTCACCAGTGGGGCCTTGGCATAGTGACTATCTCCAACATGTTGGCCCTGAGTCATGAAGAAGGAAGGGGTGACAAGGCCCCAGTGCCCACCCCTAAAGGAAGGGGTGAGTCTGCCAGGCCTCATGGGAGGAAAATGACTTCACAAACCAGTCACAGTAAAGCCAGCAACAACAGCACAGATCCCATCATCCAGGGAAATGTTTCTATGTGCAGAGGCTGAGAGTGTCGATCATATACCCAGGCCTGAGACCCATCCTACAGGCCTTCTCCAGGAAGTCTTCCCTGCCTCTCTCAGCTGGCAGTGAACCCGTTCAGCAGCATCTGCTATGGGAGTCCTCTCCAGCCCACCCTGGGGGCCACCTCAGCACAGCACTATGTGTGTCGTTGTCCCCTCTCACACCGCAGTACGAGAGATCCTGGAAGTGCCTATCCCTGAACATAACAGCCTTGGCATAGGGCCTAGTTCCTAGGAAACATTAGCAAACATCAGGAGCTGAATAGCACCATCAGCCCCCAGTCTAGCAGGCCAGAGGTGCCCTGAAGTGGGGGTTCAGGGAGAGGGACCGAGCTTGGCTATGTGAGGCAGTGGCTGAAGCCAGTAGTCTTGCCACTATTCCTTGGGCAGTATGAGGTAGAGGGAAAGCCCGGGGCCCAAAGAACAGAACGTCCTTGAGTTGCCCCATGCCATGGGGTGGGTGAACCTTACACCCAGAGGTAGAGTATCTTCGGGCCTTTCTGAGTGTGTCTTGGGAACTAGGGCCAGGCCATGCGTAAAGCCTGCTGCCTCTACTTGTCTTTCTTGCTTCTCCTCCACCCTCTTCACTGTACATTGACACCTCAGCTTTCCCCTGCAGCATCTAGACTTATCCCAGCCTCCCCTGTACCCTCCTAGCATGCCCCTTCTCTGCTTTACCTACACAACCTGGGCCCTTCTCAAGACTTAGCCTGAGGGCCCCTCCAGCACCCCAAGTGCACTCAAGGCTGTTTTCTGCTCCCCCTAGCCAGGCATCCCACATGGTGTAGCACCTACTACAAGTGGTGGTCTGAAAGAATGTCCCCAAAGCAGAGGGTCTCCATTCCCAGCCACACAAGGAGAGGATGCCCTATGGATCACTAAGCAAACATGAGGCTGGCTGGCCCTGGAGAGCCACAGCGTGCCGGCACCCCACCTCTAATCACAAGGGCAACCTACCTTGTTCTGCACGATGCCGTATCTTAACGTGGGTATATCACTAAAGGAAAAGCTCTGAAGCTTCCATTCCTCATTGAAGCAACAAAAGGTAGAACCAAACAGAAGGGTCTTGATTTCCTGTGGAAAGAAGAGCTTGTTAGTGGTTGTTTTCAAAGCAAACAACACTACCACGTTGGGCATGCATATCTCTCCAGGGGCTGGTCTCAAATTCTAGCAGGACAGTGTGTTTTCAAGCAGGGTCATCCCTTTCCTTTTTATTTGAAAGCCCATGCTTGTATTTGAAAGAAGAGTAACCCAATCTTGAAGGCGTACCTCTGGAACATCTGAAAACCAAACCAGTCTGGGCCAACATTTTGAGCCAAAATTCTGTAGGTTCCTTATGCAGACCTTGAGACGAGAGACTTTGGTTTTCCAAAGGATCTTAGCAGTCCTCTGGTCCTCCATAGAAAAGACTAGAAGCTCTCAAACCTGACTTCACATTAGAATGCCCTAGGGAGCTCTTAAAAATAATTCTGATACTCAGGCCACCAGCCAGGCCAATTAAATTCAAATTCCTTAAAGTGAGGCTCCTGCATCAGTAGTTTCATGTTTTGGGTTTTTCACAATGTTGAGAGGGGCTAATCCAGGACCTTGCACATGCTGGGCAAGTGCCATACCATGGAGCTACATGTCCAGCCTCAGTACTGGTAGTTTAAAGACTGAGTGGTTTCACTTCGAAGCCAGGTGTGAGATCCAGTGTTCTGGTACAAGGCTGACAAGTATTGACCTATGAATCACATCCAGCCCTTACTTATTTTTTAAATAAAGTTTTATCCGCATCAGGCAATGTCCATTTATTTACATATTCTCAATGGCTGCTTCTACATTACAACAACAAAGAGTATTTGCAACAGAGACCCAGGGCAAGCAAAACTGAAAATATGCTGCTTAGCTCTTAACAGAAAAAGAATTCCCTCTGTGACACAACCTGTGAGTGACTCCCCGTGAACTCTGCCAGGACACCCCACCTCCTCACAGCAGCCCCTCCATTTTCTCAGAGCTGTCTTCTCTAGACCTCTGGATGATGTTGCCCTCACTGTCCATCTCCCATCAACCCAAGCACCATCATTCAGGGCCCCAGGATCGGCCAACCCCTCCCCACCAACAAGCTCCCCTTTCCCCCTGCTCCCCTTCATGAGCCAGCCCTCTCTCAGCCATGATTTTACATCCAGGGGGACTCGGAAGCCTCAAGTGATCCTCAGAACCAACAGGTGACTCTGTAGCCCCCTCCTCTGGATCCCTCTCAGGCCAGGCCTTTCCTACTGACTCTCATTACTCTCCACCAGAATCAGTTCTCTTTTTGTTTTCCTTAAGTATAAGGAAATTTCTCTGTGTCAGAAGTACTTGTGTCATCAAGTGTGGGCCGATGGCACACTGGAGGTGTGAATTCGTCTAACAGCTCAGTTCTTTCTCTGTGCCAAGTGCAGTCATCCCTGTGTTTAGATTGCATACCTCGAGAGCCTAGAACTGCAGAGATTCGGATTTTCTGGCCCAACTCCATCTCTGTTATCCTAGTCGCAGACTAACAGCGCCTAGCTAGATGCAGTGTAGGGGACAGCCTAGAAGTCTGGGCTCTACTTGCCCCTTCTTCTCTCTGCCAGCCTCACTCACTGTTTCTGGATGCTTTTGTGGATACTGTTACCGGGCTGAATTTAGGGATAATACGAATACCCTTTATAAAGAAGCCCAGCCTCGTGGCTACAATGGAAACAGTGAGTGAGTGCCTCCAGCTTTTGGTGCCCTTGCATGTGAGTTAAAAGGGGAATGGGGGCCAGGGATTTCACTCAGTGGTGCCAATGCCTGCCTCGAAAGCACAAGGTCCCGAGTTTGATCCCCAGTACTGCAAAAAAAAAAAAAAAGGTGGGGGGAGGAAAGGAGAAGGAAACAGAGAACGGAAAGGAAAGCAAAGGACAAAGCCTCTGGAAAAGTGTTATACTTGTTGATCTGCACGCCAAGTAGAAAAGAGGGGCTGACTATGTCCACAAGAGTTTCGGGGCTTTCTCCTGGATCCTGGCTGAGAGGCCAGGGATGGACAGCAGAAATGACACTCCATCCTGCAGGAATCTCTGGGCAAGGGCAGGGCAAGGCCATCCTGGAAGCTGAGAGTAGTGAGAAATCCCAGACACCCCTGGAGAGCAAGCAGGCTTCTATGGCCAGGAACCTCCTCCCTACTTCGTGTGACCATGAGTCCCTTTTGGGGGCCACAGGAGCAAACCCAGATGGTGCTAAACAACTGTTAACCTTCCCTTGCTGCAATGGGCCCAAGTCCAGCACAGGAGCCACTGCAGGAGCACAGCCAGTCTCACAGGGATGAAAGTCCCATTCTTATCACACTTTGGGCAGTGCCCGGTAGGGATGTGGTGAGCCAGCTCTGAGCCACAAAAAGAACTGGGCCCTAGCCAGGCACAATGGTGCATGCCTGAGCCTACAGAAGGCTGAGGCAGAGGATCACAGGTTCAAGGCCAGACTGAACTACATAGCAAGACTCAAAAAAAAAAAGAAAGAAAGAAAAATGTGTTTGGATGAGGAGAATACACCCTCCTTGGGGAGGAAAAGAGAATTACCAGGACCAGAATAGTTCTCCTTTCCCTTGGCTGAGGTTTCTTTGACATTACACCCAAATTTTCAATTCAACAATGACCAAGAGATAACAAGGAGGAGGAGTGGGCCAAAAAAAAAAAAAAAAAGTCAAAGTCATGTCATCCACCATCATTTAACATGGAATTCTCCTTCCACTTTTTTTTTTTTGTACCGGGGATCAAACTCAGGTCCTTGCACTTGCAAGGCAGGCAGTGGAACCACTGAGCTAAATCATCTACTTCTGAGGTAACACCTACCTTGGCTGTTGAGAGGTCAAGTGGCTTTGACACAATGTGCAGCTTGAGCATTGATGGGGCTGGGGCCAGGATGACGTCTTCCCTTGTTAACTCATCCTCCACGTCCTCTGGAAGAAAACAATGACCATGTTATGACCCATGGAGAATGCAACAGGAAGTCGTTAACACCACAGACACTGGCAAGTTCAGGGGCAGCTTGAGCAAAAGGAGGCTTCTCCCATCTCCACCCCAGCCTTTGCTCTGGGCCCTTTGGGGGCTCACCAGAAGGAAAGAAAGCAGATCAAGAGAGGCCTTGTTCTTTATCACCATCCTACTCCTCTTATGCCACAAGGACGCTGAGGGCTAGGATTTACTACTGGCCCGCTAGGAAGTTCCACACGTGGATACAGAGTGAACTGTTAGGACCCAGGTGCAAAAAGGACTGGCTTGGAGACACTTCTGACAGAGGGACATGGTGCATAGGTCTGTCACTGAGGACATGCATGAAGAGGATAGAATTAGGAAAGAAAATGTGCCCGCTTTTGAAATAATAATAACAATAGGAGTTCACATTTACTGATCACTTGGATTGCTTCACCCAACCCCTTAATGCCCCTATGATAATTTTTTTTTCTTTTTTCTCTTTTTGGCAGTGCTGGGGATAGAACCCAGGGCCTCATACATGCTACATAAGTGCTCTACCTCTGAGCTACAGCCACATCCCTGGAGAGTCCCTGTATCACCCACACTGACAGATGAGGACACTGAGGCATAGGGGAGCACAGTGCTGGCCCGAAGTCAGGCAAATGGAAAGTGGCAGAGACGGGTTATGAAATGGGCTTACTGTTAATCTCTCTGCCATCCTGCTTCCCCTTAGCAGCCAACAGGGACACTAAGCTGTATTCCAGATACCATACTCCTACAGTCAGGGCAACAGAGGACCAGAGAGGGCCCCACTGGAGTCTTTGGTAGCACTGGCCCTCAATTTCCTAGCTGGCCTAGCACCCCTCCCCACTCTCCCACTCTGGCATTTACCACAATATTCAAAGGACCCAAGGGAGACAATTTCAAGGCAGGACACCAGCATAGCCCTTAAGCTGTAGCCTACCCAGCAGAGGTTCCAGAGTGGGCCTGCTTGGGATGCAGCATGTCAACATCCCCAGGACAAGCAGCTCATATCTTACTCTACACCTTCCTTTTCGCTCCTAGGAACGATCCAGCCATAGCATGAGGTTAACTAGGGACTCAGGCCAATGAATTAGGAGAGTGTTCTACCTTTAGGCTGAAGAAAAGTCTGGAATTTAAATAAAAAAGCTAAATTTAAGTGAGAATCCTTCTTAATCAGAGACCGTGAAAAGGCTACCTCCTGGCCTAGCTGTACAAAAATAACTGAAAATAAAGACCAGATGTTTACCCAGCAACAAGAATGGATCTTAAAAACACAGCACTGCGTAGAGAAAGTGAGAAATCAAATGAAGGGTATGACAGAATACTATTTACATTAGGCAAAAATACATACGCACAAACAATACTACACATGTGCAAGGACATCCACCAGGAAAAGGACTCATCTGAAGCCTAAGAGAATGGCTGATGATACAGGAAGAAGGTCCAGGGATTGTGGGGGCTGAAGGAAAATAAGGAAAGGAGGGAAGGAGGAGGAAGAGACAGGCTTTGCAAAGATCCATGCTGATAGAACTGGCTAGGAAGAGCAGAGATGCAGGAGTAATTCCACCTAGGTCCCAAACTAAGGGCTGCTGTGTCCTGAGAGATTCTACGAGGCCCCAAGCAGCATTTTTCTGGAGGCACAGAAGGGGCAGTATTTAAGCCTATTCAAAGGTCTCTTTTAGTCTCGTGTCGTCAGAGAGGGATTAGGATCTGCCCAGCCCCACGAAGTGAACACCTAGGCCAGGAACCTAGGAAGCAGGTCAGGAAGCCCAGGAAGGAGAGCTTCTAGGTTCAGGCAGCCTTCCTGGGCTTCCTGAGGGAAGAACTGACCCAGCGCAGGAAGCTAGTTGAGGACCACAGAGCAGGCCTTGGGCCCAGATGTGGTGAGACCGCCATGCAAGGGAAAAACAGAATGCTCCAGAATGACATGTTGGCCAAGTAGACAAAACCATCTGCAAATGCCAGTGGTTTGAGAATGCTATTTTTAAGGCACTCATATAAATGTCTGGGTGAAAAGAAACAGGGTGGGGGACTGCATTTCATTTCAAGCAGGAGTCCACAGGGAGAATGGCCTCATAGCTGTTTTTCCACATGAGCTATTTGAATATTATATCTTTATGAGTGGGTCAGTATTTCCCACTAACCCCAAAATGTCTTCTGTACTTCTCCAAAGTGCACTTTACTTTCCCTTGGTGAAAGCCCTTCCCTCTGCCCACCTTATTGGGGCACCACAGGCTGCAACTTCAGTCCTCTCCCATCCGCACACTGCTGCAGCCTCGGGCTTACGCTGCCTCCAGAATGCCTCATATCCCCCCTTCCCTCCACTTGTGTGCCATTATTTTTCTATTCACTTATCAAGTGCTGTGTTGAGCACCCCTGACTGATGTGCCAGAAGAAGTCGAAAGCTAATGAAGGCCTTTAAAGAGCTCCCTGCCCGGAGGGGGAGACAGAGTCCCTGACAAATTAAAATATAATCCAATAAGTGAGTGCGGAAATAGGAAGCAGCACAAAGGTCTCAGCAGTGATGAATTCTGCCATAAAAGGTCGGGGAAGCATCCAGAAAAGGTAGTATTTGAGCAAGACCCTGAAATATTCAGAGCATAGGGCTTCGTCACTGGTTCTCTGGACAGTCCCACGGCGTCCTCACAGCCTCCGATGCCCAGGTTCTTACCCTCAGTCCCACCCGACACTGAAGTGCAGGTGTATCACCCCCCAGGGCAGATCTTCAGGGCCCCTCACTGCCCCACACTCACCATCCAACCCTCTTGTGCAGCGCTCGCAGGCCTCTGCCGGCCCCGCCTTTGCCCCAGTCTCACTCCCTGGCTCCTCTCTTCCTGCAGGCCACACCCCTGGAGCCAATCTGCCTGGCTCACCCCGGCCTTTGCACATGCCATGCCGTCCGCATCTCTGTTTGGCAAGACCTTGCCTACCCCTCGAAGCCCAGCCTAAATGCTACCTTGCTATGGAAACTTCCAGAACCCACCAGAGAACTTAGCAGCCATTCTCCCAAAGCAGTTGGGCACACTAGTCGAATGTGTCACACATTGCCACAGGAGGACACCCTCTGTCCTTTGTCTCCTAGCTCTGCCCTCCTTCACTCCTCTGCTATTTCAGGGTATTTCCTATGCCTGGTAGGGACCCACTGACAAGTCACTGAACCAAACCACAGGAAACTGGATTGGGAGGGGAGGGGTGCCGCCCCTCTAACCAAACTGTGTCTGTTGCTGCACCACTGCTGTGTCCCCTTGCCCCCAAGACTACTCTTTGCTGCCCCCTCTTCCCTAAACTCTCTCAGTGACTTGTCCCCTAGGCTCTTATCCTTTATCTCTTCTTTCTTTTCTAAATAGTCAGTTGAGCTACCAGAACACACATACACACACACACACACACACACACACACACACACACACTTCAAACAGTTGGCTTCTGAGAATTGCTAAAAGCCTTCCTTTTAATAGAAGTTCTCTGGGGTTCTGAAGGCTGGGAACTGCCTTATTTTCTGCCCAAACATGAGCAGCTTTCATCATAAGTCTTCAAGTGCAGTGCCTCCCAGAAGCCTTTGGATGTCAGGGTTCCCTGGCTCCCTCCTTTACTCTGCACAGTCATAGACAGAAACCTGCCCTTCCTGGGTAGGGCCACATCACCCCCGCCAGCTATTTGTCATGATGAAGACTCAGAGGCTCTGTTACCTCTGAAGTGAGTTAAGCAGCATGAACAACCCCAGTCTCCACTGTTCAGGGACCCGGCCCTTGCTTTCAACTTGATCAAAGCAGACCATGGGGAACCACTTCTCATACAAGGCACTTCTAAGGGGGCACTGCTTTCTTCCTGCAGCATAAAAGGGAATACTTAAAGGGGAGAAGAAAAGTATGTGAACAGCTCTCGTATGCCAAAATGGCCAACAGGTAAGTGGCTCTCTTCCAAAAGAGGAGCAAATGTCAACAGCACTCCAGCCCATCCTCTCACGTCCCACCCCTGGCCCGGCATCCTCAGTTCTATAGCTGCATTTGCCAAACTCTTGGTCTTCAAGGAGCAGAGATTTGCAGGGAGGAACAAAAACTACTTCAGAACTAAAGAGGGGAAAGGAATGTTCTCTTCCTTGGTCTTAAAGAGTAGCTCCACAGATGGGCCCATATGACTCATTTGTATTTTACACCTTGTTAATAGGTTTGTCAACTTTCAAAAAGGATAGACCTTCCTGGAAGAGATACACTGGTATTTTGACCTAGAACTGTCTTCTGAAAACCTCCATAGTTTCTGAATGGTCCTAAAAAACTATAAATGTAGAGAGGGTTCCTCTGGCCCCCAATGTATGTCCTGAAATGACCAGACTGCTTAGAAGCACTTTTCCAGGAGAAAAAAGCAGGCAGTGGGAAAAGACATCAACAGAAAAGACACCTGCCCCTGCTCCCTGAGACCAGGCAGGAGGAAAAGAACTCCCATACCAGCTAAGAGAAAGTGCCCACCACTTGGTGTCTCCCAGAGGGAGCAGCTGAGGGGACCCCACAGGCACAACACAGGGGCACCCGCTTTACCTACCGAGCTGCAGGGCACCCAGCTCATCATCCACCTTGTTGGACACTGGCAAATGACTCTTCCTGGAAAAGAGAAAATGTCGGTGAGCCAGAGGAGCATGACAGAGGAACACAAGCAGAAGACAAGACTGGGAGGGGCCCTGAATGAGAGTCTGGAGGTGGCACCGCTGGGCCCTGCCATGCAGAATGTGTCTTGGATGAGTGGCCTTCTCTCAGCCAAGGGTTCCACATAGGATGGGAACAAATGGCCAACAAGGGACCTGTCAGTGCTGCATTCTCACAAGGAAGCCGAACACAAGCCACTTGCTGCACACTGAACTCTGTAGTTTGACATCTGCCAGTCACTGAATGCCAATGTATTTCACTGGTGTCACTGCAGTAATGCTGGGAGACACAAAGAGGCCAAGTTCTTCTGGTCATTGCACAGGATGTTTCCATCTCTACTCCATGAGTTTTTGCTTATTTCCCCTCGCCCAACCTCCCCATAAAACCACCAGCAACTATTTATAAGAGTCCTCTAAAATGCACCCGTATGCTTAAAGGAAACAGTCCTATATCTTCCCATTACCCAAAAAGTTGCCTTGTGATTCTTATTTGCAAATTTAGGTGTGTGCACACAGAACTTACTTAGCCTCACAGCATGCATCAATCTAATCTAAAGGAAAACCACTTTTTGAAAAGCACTTATTAAAAATAATAATATTACATCACTCTCTGAAAACCCATTTACTATGTTAAAAACTGACAGCTCTTTTGAATGTGGCATTGAAATATATTTTCCTCCAACATCCTTGCAGGGTAAGATAGGACTGGAGTAACAATCGCAGTCTTGCCACGGTGCACTCTATTGAATTGGTTTCCTCCCACAAGATGTATGAAGGGTGTGATTGGAAGTCTTTGGGGACGTGCAGTACTCAACCCACGTGCAAGCACACGCTGCTCTGCACTCAGTTTCTCTGCTGGCTCCAGAACAGCGAGCTCCTCTGCCTCCCTCCTAGGCAGCTCCTCCTCCCCCATCCTTCCCACTCAACAGAGCATTTCTTCCACCTGAGTCTGACCCCTCCAGGAGTCTACAGGTGTGCTCACGGGAAATGGTGCGAGAATGCACTGGAAAGGAGGCACAGCTCAGAGGGTAGGGAGAAGGATGCGGAGGGGCAGCCAATTGGAGCCCCCCACTGGGAAGGGATGAACTACACTTTCCTCCGAGGCATCTGCCAGGCCGCACTTCCTCTGCTCCACCTGCTCTGCCCAGAGGCTAAGGACCTGTGCGCCCTTCTCTCTTCTCTATCAAAAAAGTGAGGGTGGAGGTACTGGGGGTAGATGGCCTCTACAATCTATCTTCAGCCGTGTCAGTCAGGGGCAAAGACAGATTGAAAACACACATTCATCAGCATCTCTCCTGAACCCTCTTCTGCTCTCAGCCTCCTCATCTCACACCCACAGTATTTCAGTAGTCTCTAATGCTTTCCCGATTTCCAGTGTGGCCACCCTTCAGCTACCCATACCTTCACATGTCACCTTTCTATAAAGCATGACTCTGATCATGACTCTGTCACCTGGTGGCAAGTCTTCCAATGTTCCCTGTCATGGCCACTATCACCATCACTGGCAACAATAATCATACTTATAAAAATGACAACAATAAGAACAACAAATTCCCTCTGGCTCCCGTGACCATTCCAGGTAGTGTGCAGAGTGCTGCACAAGCCTTAGGCACCATCTGCTTTAGACAGCTTTGTGAAGCAGTTATTTCACTTCGTCTCAGAGAGGTTTAGAATTTTTTTCTGGGGTAATACAGCGAGCAAATGTCAGCACAGAAATTTAAACAGCAGCCATAACTCCAAAGATAATGGCAGCACCCACAACACATACAGATTCCTTATACAAGCAAAGCCAGGCTCATTAGAGTACCCTATAGGACTCCCCCTGAGCTGGACACCCACCACTCAGGCTGATCTCAGATGAGGCCTTTGTGTTCCATCCGCATTTCCTGTGTTGAACATCTCAGCCTAAGGAACCTCTAACTTTTCATAAGCTGCTCACTTCATTTAGAGTATCCTTTGACAAATTCATACTAATCCTCAAACTGGATTTAGGAACTGGAACATTCCTTCCCCCTCAACTCCAAAATCTGCCTTTATTCATTTCTTCACCCATTCACCCAGCACCTTGGTGGGGTTACCTAGCAGGCTTCACTTCTGCCCAAAGGACACCTAGATGTATAAAATAAACAAACATAAATTGCATAACATGATGGGGTAAACTGGCCCATAAAGATATCTATATCCTAGAATCCAGAGCCCACAAATGTTACATTATATAGCAAAGGATTTTTGCAAATGGGATTTTGCAATGAAGATCTTGAGATGGAGAGATTCTCCAGGTAAGACCTTGTCACAGGGTCCTTATGAGAGGAAAGCAGAAGGACTTTGACACAGATGAGGAGGAAATGTGATGACAAAAGCAGACAGGAGTAGGAGTGCCCTGCAGACAGAGGAAAGCCCACAGCTGAGGATACAGTGGGCACAAGACGCTCCTCCTCCCCTCTCATTCCTCAAGGAACCAGACTCTCCCATGAGCCACCAGAAAGACCCAGCCCTGGCACCACCCTGTCCAGTGCAACTGATTTCAGACTTAGCCCTCCAGAACTGTGACGTAATAAATTCATGTTGTTTTAGGCCGCTGGCTTTGGTAATACTGGACCTACCAGAATACCAAAGAGAAACACAAAAGTTTTGGAGAAAAGGTAGATTACCTACAAGCACCAAGGAAAAGTGATACACCCAATAAGAGTAGTAACTAAGGGGAAAGAGAGGACCACAGGATTCTCTTGGTCTCTCAGGTCCCAGGTGTCCAGCCTAGTGCCCCAGAAACAGGTGCTGACTGCCTGGGTGACTCGCACAGAAGTTGGTGACTTACACAGGCTTGCATAACTTAGAAGTGCCAGAGCCAGGACTAAGATGCAGGCCCTTGGCTTCAAATACTGCACTTTGATCTTTCTTGTAATTTATGCACCCTTCTCCTGTTCAGAAACCTCCATGGCTCCTTGGGAGCCAGGACAAAGTCCAGCCCTTTCAAGTGTTCCCAGCATCTCCTGAGGGCAATTTGGCAGCTGTGAGCCACAGTGAGAGGGTGGGGATGATGTGCCTGAGCAGGGAACAGCCGGTCCTCTCCCTGGTCATGGGACTTCCACCCAGAGGGCCATCCATCAGCTGGAGGAGCAGCTTAGATGCTTTGTACCCATTTCCCATCCATGTCCTCACCAAAGGAGACTTCAAGTAGGGTCACATGTCAAGAATGTGCTCATTGTTCCTTTCATGTGTCCCTTTGTGGCAGAGCATTGCAAAGTTTAAAAGGTCAGCTTAAAAGCATGTTCTTGGCCTTTGAGTGAAAACTATTATGCACAATGATGATAAAAAGATAAATCAAGGGATTCAAAATGCTTTTTCAAAGTATGATTGTGCAGATGCATGCGTAAAAGTGTGCAGCTAATAAAACCATGGGGCCAAGCAGCAGACACCCAGAGTGTCTGCTCTGTGCGAGGCCCCTACCTTGCATTCCACCTTCTCTCCACACCCTGCAGGGAAAGCAAGGACCAGGGCACTGTATTCAGGGCCATGAAGGACCAGCACTCAACCTCTGAGCACCTGATCCCCTGGCTCAATTAGTAGAAAGAGTTACTGGGAGACCTTGGTTCTTGTCCCTGCTCTTCCCTACTCTCTGTGGCCTTGGCCAAGTCACATAGTCTCCGTGATCCCCCAATTCCTCTCTGCCCTGTGGTGAGAACCTCAGTGTTTCTACTTGTACGGGACATGGCCAGTGAGGGGCTCTGAATGATAAATGTGCAGGGGCTCTGGAGGTCTTCTGGAAGTAACCATCATGTCTGCATTTTACTTTCAAAAGCATCATCAAAATGTGCATGTATATTAACACAATTAGTACTTACTGGGGAGGAGGAGAGAAGAGAAAAAACAAATCTGACAAAATCTCAGCAATTGCTGAATTTAGGTGAAGGATGTACAAATGTCCATTATTACCATGCTTCCAACTTTTCTGCAGGATTGAGCTTTTTTTAAGTGAAGAAGTTGGATTGGATTCGACAGAGAGGTAGTTAACCATAAGGAGGTATCTAGTGAAAATGCACAGATTGCAACCCAATCAGGACAGAGATAAGATATGTGAAAGAGCAAATGAAAGACATGAAGGGGAAATGTTGAAGTCCACTATATATTCAAACAGGAATCATGAAAGGAAGAGTAAAACAAATGTGAGAAAGAGAAATACTGAAAAGACTACTGCAATGAACTTTCCAGATATGCACCTTCACAGAAACATACCATCCCTTAATGATACACATGAAATTAAATGTGCACCTCCGTGTTTCACATTGGATCTAACAGAATACCAAAGCAAAAGAGAAAAATTTGAGGGGAAAGGTAGATTACCTGCAAACAATGACGACTTTAACTTTGCACTTCTCAGTAGAAACAATAAAAGCGGTAAGACAATGAGAGGACATATCTGGAGTGCTGAGAAAAATTAACTATTGACTTAGAAATTCCCAGCTAAAATATCACTAAAGGTAAGGACAAACAGATAACAATTTTGAGCAAAAACTAAAAACATTTACTGAAACAGGCCTACAGCGAGTGAACTACTAAAGGTTTTAGTTCAGAAAGAAGAAAGGTAAGCCTGATAGAGCAGGCAGTTAGCTAGATATGAGCTGGAGCCGGAAGGAAGGCAGCTGAGCCACGGAGGAAAACTTCCAACAGACAGTGGTTAAAGCTTCCTGAATTAGCGGTCTCAAGGTTTTCCTTGAAAGGCACAAAGCTCTACCTATCCTACACACATGGTTTTGTGAGTGTGGGGTCACTGCATATGCACGTAAGGGGCTCAAACACCATAGCGGCCTAATCAGACTCCATGACCCAGTTAGGCCTCAATAGATACATGTGTATTGCAATTTTGACTTTGGCAACCATCTTCATTCTGACCAGGTCCAACCAAGTAAGACCAAAAACTCTCACAGTATGTGTGTAGAGTCCCTCTGCTGCTTGGATAAA